CGTTAAATATTCGTTATTTTTAGCAATTACAAAACGATTACAAAACATATTTTCAAACCCGGAAGTGTTTTTAAATATCGAAACGGCATCCTCCATCTTTTTTACGGGCTTCCGCCCGTTTCGGAAATGACGTTTTAGGGATGGAGGATGCTGGGTGCGCCGGGAGCCAATCCTGCGCTCCCAAGCACCGTGGCTCATTGTGATTGGGCGGGCTGCCCTTTAAAAGCGGCTCCGCGTGGCTGCATTGCTCATTGCGAAGAGGAGACGGGAGGTGCGGGAGGGAGGCTTGGCTTGCATTCATTCATTGCTTGCATTCATTCATTCCCTGGGCTGGGAGCAGCGGGGACTGTGGCTGTGTTCGCTCCACAACAGGGCAAGCCTTTTGTTAATTTTCCATTTTTAAATATTTCTGAAAAATATATTTCTTTTATTCTTCAAAAAATTCAAAAAATATTCTAAAAAAGAAAAGAAACTTGTGTGCCGTGTGTGCGTTTGTCCCTGTCCTGTGGCTGTGTTCGCTCCACAACAGGGCAAGCATTTTGTTAATTTTCCATTTTTAAATATTTCTGAAAAATATATTTCTTTTATTCTTCAAAAAATTCAAAAAATATTCTAAAAAAAGAAAAGAAACTTGTGTGCCTGTGTGTGCATTTGTCCCTGTCCTGTGGCTGTGTTCGCTCCACAACAGGGCAAGCCTTTTGTTAATTTTCCATTTTTAAATATTTCTGAAAAATATTTCTTTTTTAACGAATCGATTCGTTGCCACCTTAACGAATCGACCCCCGTCTTCATAACGAAGTTCCGGGGGTGATTTGCGCATGCGCGGGGGGTCCGCCATCTTAACGAATCGATTCGTTGAATATTAACGAAATTTCGTAAATACTGAACTTTTTTAAAGGAAAGTTTTGTAATTATTTTAAATATCAAAACGCAAAAAACCCCCAAATACAAATCGATTTTAGAAACAAATTTTTGCGTTGTTACCCAGGCCTATTACATAGATAAGAGCATCTGGCAGTGTTTTGAGAATCGAAAGTGTAGACTGTGAGAATGCAAACTGGTGGCGGGGGAGGGGGGATTTTCTAGGTATACCAGGGGCAAAGAGAGGATAGTTAGAACTAACTTTCTGGGATCCTGGTAAGAAGGAAAATAAAGACTTTTTTTCCAGTTATCTTCATTGTGAGTACAATGGTTGAATTCACCCGCTGACTGTCAATTACATGATGATATAACTTCACTGCCACCAATCTAAATTCCCCCATGGCAGCACCTGTCCTGTTTCATCCCAAAATGGGACGCTGAGATTATGCACAGATTGTCACGGCCTGAATGCTATCTGCACCGCCAACAAATATCCACTTCCATTGATTAAATACATGTTGGCCCATTTGGGCAAGGCCGCCCAGTTTACTAAGCTGGACCTCCGTGAAGTCTACCATTAGATTTGCATTAGGAAGGGGGATGAGTGGAAAACAGCATTCAATTCCCCTTGGGATCATTCTAATATAAAGTTATGGCCTTCTACCTCAAGGGGGTGCTACATGTCTTTATGCAATATATCAATGAAATTTCCCACCCGTGGATAAGCGCATCTTAATTCATTTAGATTATATTCTTATTTTTTTTTCTAATTCATTGGATTAGTATGTTAAATTGACGAGACAAATCCTGGCCAAGCTGCGGGAACACCATCTCTATGCTAAACTGTCCAAATGTGAATTCCATAAAGAGGGATTAGATTACCAGGGGTCCATGCTTAAGCATAGACCCTAGCAAAGTACAAGATGTGTTAAATTGGGACCCTCTATAGACCCAATGTCAAACGGCATTTTATCAATTGAAAACTTTGTTTACGACCATACACATCCTGGCTCACAATCAGGTAAATAAGAATTTTGTGATTCACTGGGATACCTCTGAGGCGACGTATGGAGTTGTTCTTTTACAAAAGGATGGGGAGAGGAAGTTAAGGCCCTATACCTACTTATCCAAGAAGTTCTTGGATACCAAGAAGAGTTGGCACATCTGGGAGAAAGAATCATTCACATTCAGGACAGCACTATAAAATTGGTGACATTTTTTAGAGGAGGCCAAAGTTCCCTAGACTGATCACAAAACCTTCAAGTACTGCAAAACCCTCAAGGTTAAATGCTAAACAGCTCCGGTGAGTGCAGTTTTTTAGCTGGTTCAACTTTATGCACCATTTCTTCCCTGGCAACCAAAACTCCTTGGCAGATGGTCTGTCTAGAATAACTCAGGCAGGTTATTCCTCCCTGGAAGAAATGAGTACAGTGTTCACCCAACAACAACTAGGGCTTGTGGTGAAAACCTGCTCCTGTGCTGTGGATGAAAGGAAATCACTGGCCAGCCCAGAGGCATCCTGATAGGTTTTGCAAAAGAGTTGAGAGAGGAAGCTGTTAAGGACGTCTGGCTTCAGGAACATAAAGATAGTCTGCTTGAAAAGAAAGAATTGTGGTTTTATGACACTAAGTGTTATGTTCCCAGGGTGCTGCGGGAAAAAGAGCTGGCCAGATGACACGATTACAAAGTGTCTGGACATTTTGGATTTGCAAAGACTCTAAAGTTAATAGCCAAGAAGTTTTGGTGGCCTGGCAATTTTGGTGGCCTCCACAAAGATGTAAAAAACTACCTTCAAAAATGCACTGTTCATGCCAAGGCCATGCAGAAATTGGGAAAGCTCACAGGGTTGTGGAAGTTGGTAGCAGAGCCTGACCAACCATGGAGACAAATTGCAATGGATTTTATCATTGACTTGCCCGATACAATACCATTTGGACAATAATGGACCTGTTTTCCAAGCATTATTTCATGCCCCTAAAAATCATACCTTCTGCTCAAGACTTGGCTAAATTATTTGTGCGACATGTGTTCAGATTGCATGGGTGTCCAGAGCATATAATATTAGACAGAGGGCCTCAGTTTACTGCTAAATTCTGGAAGACCTTTTTGAAGTTCTTGGATGCTGAGTGGGCATTTAGCTCTGCATTCTATCCAGAGATGGATGGGGCCATGGAGCAGGTACAGAAGACTTTTCAACAATTCCTGAGGTGTTATAGTACATATCAACAGGATGAGTGGGTTGATTGTATTGATTTTGCTGCATTTTAATTATCATAATTCCCAGCACTCTTCCACTGTGGTTTCCCCTTTTAAAGCTGTTTGTGGGAGGGATTTTCCCCACCTTTCTGGAGTTGAGGGACCCCAAAAGCAGAGTAGTGACCCCTAGGGAGTGGGGGAGAAGATTGCAGCGGTGTGGCCATTGATACAACAGACTCTAGAAGCTGCCAAGGTGGATTACAAAAAATGTGCAGACAGGAAAATGGTTGCCCAACCCGATTTCAAGTTGGGGGACTTGGTTTACCTGTCCACCAAATATTTAAGGACCACCCAGCCTTTGTGCAAGTCAACTCCCCAGTATGTGGAGTCCTTTCCTGTCTCTCGGGTGATTAATCCTGTATATTGTATGTCAGCTTGTTCAGCCTGTGATTGTGTCTGATGCTTATGTTGATGTTCATGATGGGAATAGAGATGGTGTTCCTGATGATAGGCCTAGAGATGAGGGTTTGCTTGGGCCTGAGTTAAGATCAGAAGAGAGGCCTGAGCTGATTTCAGGAAGAGTCACAAGATCACATTCTTGAGAGGGTCCCTTCACTGCTTCTATCAGAACAGCTATCTGAACATGATTTGTCAGGTGCAGGAGTTAATGAGGGAGAAAATAATGAAAGCTTGGACAGAAAGCAAAATTTTAGTAAACAAAGGCAAAGTCTTCAGAAACTGAGATGATCAGTTCGTCTACAGCAAAAGAGAACTAACCAACCATTATCTGGTGGTAAGGTCAAGAAAAATGCTTTCCTTTCAATTTTGGGATATGAAAAGCGTTATAATGATTCATGGGAAAGAGTTGTCTCCGTTGGGTCAACGTTATTCTATCACGATGTTGCTTTTAAATGCTCTTAGTTTCATGTATCAAGTTTTGTCAAGCTCAATATTTGTCTGAGATTTTCCTGCTGTCTTGCTTCATGGATTCAAGTGCCTAGTTTCATGGATTTTATGTACTCATGGATCTTGTTTTCCGTTGAAACATATGGACTATTTCTTATATTGGATCTTTTCTGTTTTTGATTTTTTTTTTTTACTGCTTTGCTTACATATATTCTTCAATAAACTTCTTGCTGATTTTACCAAGCTGGTGTGGTGTTTAATGTCAGAGATCTGTTCCTGCTCTGGTGTATGACACCATAGCTCTCCATTTGGATTTACTTCATACATGGCGGAGAGTGCATCCATATTCCATGTCAGTTTGTTAAATGGCCTGTGCTATGTTGCAGTGGGCCAAAGAGGGCAAGGACCCTGCTCCCATTATGGTGGGGGCACGCACCTATTTTGAGATTTAAGCTATTCTTGATTCTAGAAGACACAATATTTGGTCCAGTGGAAATCCCATGTGTTGCACCCCGAGTGGGTCGCTGATGAGAATGTTTGGGCACCTCGATTAAAAAAACTTTCATCGGACTTATTCTCACAAGCCTGGTGCTTGAATCTATTGTTTGCTATTGTCTCTTCTCTCTGCAGGTGCCACCCTTTTGTTGGAAGGGAGTGATGTTAGGAGGCCCGGTACAGCCGTGTAAAGAGGCTGCCCAGGTCATCCTGACATTAAGAGAGGCCATGCTGGAGAGAAGGGGGAGGATGGGAAGGACTGGGGAATGTTACATAGATAAGAGTATCTGGTAGTGTTTTGAGAATCTAAAGTGTAGATTGTAAGAATGCAAACCGGCAGGGTGGAGGGGAGTGTGTGTAGATTATTTTCTAGGTATATACCAGGGGCAGAGAGAGGATAGTTAGAACTGACTTTCTGGGATTTTGGCGAGAAGGAAAATAAAGACTTGTTTCCAGTTATTTTGATTGTGAGTGTGTTTTAATTCCAAGAGCTTCCAGGTTCTGACAGTGACCTTTTAAAACAAAAATTATGTCTTTTGTAGATCACTCTTATGGATGCAAATTATGTAATGGATGAGACTATCGGAACAGCAACATTTCCTATATCATCTTTGAAAGTGGGAGATAAGAAAGATGTCTCTTTTACCATTAGCAAAGTAAGTTTCCAAAAGTCTGCTGTTTAAATATCCATGCTATTATTGTCAATACAGTACAGATGGATATTTTTGGATTTCAGTTCCCATAATCCCTCAGCTATCATAGCTAAGAGTCCTGGGATTGGAGTCTGAGACAACTGACTTCGATTGCTTATCCTTGCAGTACATGTTATGATGAGCTAAGAACATATTTATTAATTTAAAGCTCATATGTCAAGCGTAAGGTCTGTGAGCCGAATGAGGCCCGCCATGTCGTTTTATGTAGCCTGCCGGGCTTTCAGTCCCAAGGTAACACAATTACATTCATACAGAATTACATTTGCAAACAGCCCTTTGAAAGCAACCATAGTGTTAATGTGACCCTTACTGAAAATGAGCATGACATCCCTGATTTAAAAGAACATCAGAAAAATACTCAACATTTTGAGTTATTGTGAATTGGTGGCAAATGATTATTCTCATCCAGGTAATTTTATGATACCAGACTTATATGGTTATGACTGGCTGAAGTTTGTATGGACTTTCCCTCTTCTTTTTTCTATTACTACATTACAATTGCCAATGTTGTTTATTCGTTCAGTCGCTCGACCCTTCATGACCTCATGAACCAGCCCACTTCAGAGCTCCCTATCGGCTGTGGCCACTCCCAGTTCCTTCAAAGTCAAACCTGTCACTTCAAATATACCAGCCAGCCATCTTGCCCTTGGTCAGCCCCTCTTCCCTTGTCTGGGCGCTGCGTTTGGTGGTCCCTATGTAGACTTGTCCACAGCTGCATGGTATACGGTAGACTCCTGCAGAGGTGAGAGGATCCCTCTTGTCCTTTGCTGAACGTAGCATTTGTTGGATTTTCTTGGTGGGTCTTGTAGATTGTTTGTATGTTGTGTTTCCTCATCAGCTTCCCTATGCGGTCAGTGGTTCCCTTGATGTATGGCAAGAACACTTTTCCTCTGGGTGGATCTTCATCTTTACTCTCGCGGCTTCCAAACGCAGCGCCCAGACACGCATCAAGAAACATGAAAGGCACTGCAGACTACTTCAACCAGAGAAGTGAGCCATAGCAGAGCACCTGATGAACCAACCTGGACACAGCATATTATTTGAGAACACAGAAGTGCTGGACCACTCTCACAACCACCATGTCAGACTACACAGAGAAGCCATTGAAATCCACAAGCATGTGGACAATTTCAACAGAAAGGAAGAAGACCATGAAAATGAACAAAATCTGGCTACCAGTATTAAAAAACTCTAAAATCACAACAGTAAAACAACAGAGAGGAAACAACCAGGCACATCTTAACACCTCTCAACAAAAGATTTTCCCAGGCTCAGCCAGTCCTTCAAATACTAATGAAGGTGGTCAGCTGAAACATTCACACCTAGCTCCTACAGACAAGAGTTCTTTGCCCCACCCCCGCCATTCCACAGATATATAAACCCATTGTCCTAATTCCAACAGACCTCACTACCTCTGAGGATGCATGCCATAGATGCAGGCGAAACGTCAGGAGAAATGCCTCTAGAACATGGCTCTATAGCCCGAAAAAACCCACAAGAACCTAGTAATATTAAAATAGTTTATTAAATGAAACCTTATAAGACATTCATTCACTCCACACATTAATCACAATATTCCACGTTCTCTTAAAGTGCTGCTTGCATCTATTGTCCAAAAGCCTGGTCCCAAAACCATGCCTTTAGTTTCTTTCGAAAAACTAGAAGGGAGGTGGCCTCAGTTACCTCAGTTGGGAGTGTGTTCCATAGGTTACTACAGGGAATACCGTTGCTTTAACTATGAGTATCTTCGTTGCCAGTGTGATGTCTCTACTCTTCACTATTTTATCTTCACTATTTTATCAAGATTGGTCACAAGTAAACGTCTTCTGATTTCCTGGCTACAATCTGTGTCTGCAGTAATCTTCGTGCCTAGAAATACAAAGCCTGTCACTGCCTCCATGTTTTCTCCCTCTATTTGCCAATTATCAATCAGTCTGGTTGCCATGATCTTGGCTTTTTTGATGTTTAATTGCAACCCAGCTTTTGCACTTTCTTCTTTCACCTTGTTTAGAAGGCTCATCAGCTCCTCCTCTGATGAGCCAGCCATCAAAGTGGTATAATCTGCATATCTAAGGTTGTTAATGTTTCTTCCAGTAATTTTAACTCCAGCCTTGGATTCGCCAAGCCCTGACATCACATGTTGTGTTCTGCATACAAGTTGAATAGGTAGGGTGAGAGTATACATCCCTGCTGTACTCTTTTCCAAATCTTGAACCAGTCTGTTGTTCCATGGTCTGTTCTTACTATTGCTACTTGGTCATTATACAGATTCCTCAGGAGACAGACAAGGTGGCTTGGTATCCCCACACCACCAAGAACTTGCCACAATTAATTATGATCCACACAGTCAAAGGCTTTAGAATAGTCAATAAAACAGAAATAGATGTTTTTCTGAAACTCCCTGCCTTTTTCATAATCCAGCGGATATTGGCAATTTGGTCTCTCTTTCCGCTGCCTTTTCTAAACCCAGCTTGTACATCGAGCAACTTTCGCTCCATGTATTGCTGGAGTCTACCTTGTAGGATCTTGAGCATTAACTTATTGGCATGTGAAATAAGTGCCACTGTATGAAAGTTTGAGCATTCTTTAACATTTCCCTTTTTTGGTATGGGGATATAAATTGATTTTTTCCCCCAGTCTGATGGCCATTCTTGTGTTTTCCATATTTGGTTGCATATACCATGCATCACCTTAACAGCATCATCTTTTAAGTTCAGCTGGTATCCCATCGTCTCCTGCTGCATTGTTATCTTTGTTAATGATCATGTTTAGAAATAGTTCCTTATCTCTTCTGGCTAACCTCTGAAATTGTGCATTCAATTGGGCATATCTCCCCCTATCACTGTTTCCTTTTGCTTTCCTTCTTTTTGGGCTACTTCCAGTGTCTCAGCAGACAACCATCTTGCCTTCTTGGTTTTCTTTTTCTTTGGGACATACTTTGTTGCCGCCTCCTGGACAATAAGGAGGACTTCTGTCCAGATTTCTTCTTGTACCCTATTTATTAAATCTAGTTCTTTAAATGAATTCTTCACCTCCACTGTATAGTCACCAGGAATATTTATGAGATCATATCTAACTGGTCTCTGTGTTTTCCCTAATCTCTTTAGTCGGATTCTAAATTGTTCAATAAGAAGTTCATGATCTGAACTACAGTCAGGCCTGGACTTGTTTTCACCGACTGGATAGATGTCCACCACCTTTGGCTGCAAAAGATGTAGTCAATTTAATTTCAGTGTTGACCATCTGGTGAAGTCCATGTATAAAGCCATCATTGCCAATAATAATAACAATAATAATAATAGCAACAACAACAACAGCAACTGATTATTGCAGTCCAGGAGCAACAAACAAATGCATCAGAACAAATGCAATTAAGGCCAGGGTTGAAAAATCAGCTGATGACCCAAACTGCAGACTGTGCAAGGAAGCTGATGAAACCATTGATTATATCTTCAGCTGCTGCAAGAAAATCACACAGACAGACTACAAACAGAGGCACAACACTGTGACCCAAATGATTCATTGGAACTTATGTCACAAGTACCACAAGTAGTAAAGAACCGGTGGGATCATAAATCTGCAAAGGTAGTGGGAAATGAACATGCAAAAATATTATAGGACTTTCGAATCCAGACTGACAACCTTTTGGAATACAATATCACGATTGTGGGGGGAAAAATGGATTATTGATGTTGCCATACCAGGTGACAATTGCATTGAGGAAAAACAACAGGAAAAACTCAGCCGTTATCAGGACTTCAGAATCGAACTGCAAAGGTTCTGGCATAAACCAGTACAGCTAATCCCAGTGCTAATCGGCACTCTGGATGCGGTGCTAAAAGATCTCAGGTGGCATTTGGAAACAATAAACATTGACAAAATCTGTCAACTGCAAAAGACCACCTTGCTTGGAAGTACATCACACAGTCCTAGACGCTTGGGAAGTGTTCGACTTGTGATTTTGTGATATAAAATCCAGCATATTTGCTGTAACATACTGTGTTTTGTGTTAGTAAAATAATAACTTTATTCTTTCACCCTGCTTCCATCTCCCCGAAGGGACTCGGGTGACTTACAGATGGCAGAAAATGCCAAAAACAGAGCATAACATAAATACACAATAGAATACGATAAAGTAAAACATGCAGCATATAAAAACAAGTTTAATACTCGGAAGAACGCCCAATAACCTTTGGTGACAGCTATTGTAAGACACCACCAGATTATAAATTAGACAAGGGAATGGGATAGTGCAAGCATTCCAGTAATTTCTTACTCCCCTTTTAGCAGTTTTAAAATTCTCAGTAATATATGTAATGATGGCTTCATTTCCTCTGTGAATGCACACATATGGAGAATGTGCGCCTGCGCAGGTTCCAACGGAAAACTTCCCAGTTTAGAACTTTGAAGTTTCGGCGGTAACCCCGCCCAGCCGCCCAGCAGGGCATAAAAGGCACCCCACGCACGCGCTCCGTAGTTCTTTCTTTTCCGCCGCTCAGCTCACTCGGAATCTTCTTTAGTGTGTCAACAACTCAATTTAAGCATTGCGTTCAATGCTCTAGGAAATTTCCTGACTCTGACAAACACTTGAGGTGTCTTCTCTGCCTCGGCAAAGCCCACAACACCTCGACCTGCAGACATTGCCAGGCGCTTACGGCCCAGTCGATGAAGAATAGGGCAACTCGTCTACGTACCCTGCTGTACGAGCAGTCCCTAGCTCCACAACCTTCAACTTCTTCGACCGCGATGTCTCAACTACCTTCCACCTCTTCAGTGGCCCAGTCGACCAGACCGCCATCGACAGCTTCGACCTTGTCAAAAAGGCCTCGCCAAACTAAACCCTGCACAGTAATGACGCAGACGGTACCGGCGAGACGGCCCTCGACATCGAGTTCGGTGGCCTCGGTCCGGTCGACGAGGTCGAACACGGCGACACCGCCTTCAACCTCTGCCATGAGAATCGCTTTCAAAAGGTCTAACGAGGAATTCCGCTGAGCCAAGTTGACGCCGTCCGCCATTCCTCTAACCCCGGGAAAATCTCTTCGGTCTCCTTCTCGTCCCCCAGCGAAGAAGAGGCCCCAGCCATGATCTTCGTCCTCTTCCTCGGCAAAGAGGGTTACCCAGACGTCGTCGGTAACCTCTTCCTCTAGATCTTCACCGATCCAGCCTGCACAGCAGCCCGTTCCACTGCCCGACCCGACACCGGAGACTCAGCCAGAGGAGGTCGATGCCCATGTCTCACCAGGCCAGTCAATCCAAACAGTGGTCGAGCTCCCTCAATGTCATTTTGCGAGGCAAGAACTTTTCCCACCTCCTTCGACACCTGAAAGGGGACGACAAACTGCTCGGTTAGTGAGAGCCGCCCAAGCCTCGGCTTCAAAGCAACCCCCTCTCCCGTCTTCCCCAGTGGGAGTTGCTAGACCGCTACCGATGCAACCTAGACAATCTTCATCTTCTCCTCACCATTTGGAGGAAGATGACCACGACAAGGACATTCAGGGCTCAGTTCACTCGGAGTCAGTCCTTCCCCTCGGCATCAAGAGGTCGCCAACCCATGATGCATATGAGGCTGATCCGCCTTCCCCGACCGACAACGTCCGGGCCTTTGTGGATCAAATGGCCAGGATGGCCGAAACTCTGGGACTTGAGGTTAAACAAACCTCAAAAGCTGTAACTGACCCTGTCTTCAAAAGGGTGCAGTCGGAGGCCCCACCAGCCCCTCTCCTCCCGTTCCTGCCCTATCTGCTGGAAGTGATCCAAGCTTCTTGGAAGACTCCGTCTTCGATTCCACCAACCTCCAAACGCATCGAGGCGTGGTATCGTACTGATGATGACGGCTTGGAGTGGCTCAAACACCACCCGGATCCGAATTCCGTGGTTGTTAAAGCCGCACAATTGGGCAGACAATCCAACACCCTGTCGGATCGTGAAGGGAAACGCTTCGACGCCATTGGCAGAAAGCTGTATTCTGGAGCCCTCCTCGCAAGGATATCAAATTACGGAGCTTGCATGGGAGCCTACCAGCAAATCATTTGGGAAAAGGCTCAGCCCTTCATTGCCAAGCTTTCCAATGAAGATCGGGCAGTTATGTCGGCACTATCCCAAGAAGCTACGTCACTTGCGCATCACCAAATGCAAATGGCGAAACATACTGGAGATACCGCGGGTAAAATGATAGCCCATGCCGTAGCCATCAGACGGCACTTGTGGCTTCGCTCTTCTGGCCTTTCTACATCATCCCGCCAAGTGATCGAAGATCTACCATTCGACGCTTTGGGACTTTTCAACACCGGCACCGACGATAAACTCAAGTCAAATCAGGACTATAAAATTCTAGCTTCAAAGTGTGGAATAGAGAACCAGTCGCAGGCTCAACGCACGCGCTGGTATAATTATCGACAATATCGTGGCAATACTTACCGTCACCAATCTGCTAGACAGATTGCCGCCCAACCTCAACCTCAACAACAGCAACGCCAGCCACAACAGCCTCAGAGGTGCCGACCAATGGCAATGCAAGACGTCGAGTTTGATGCTCTCCCCGACGATACCACCTCCGTCTCAGATACTTCTGCCATCTCCACCATACCCTCAACTTTAGAGCCATGGCTGCTACAACGGCATTCCTCAAGGAGGGGGGTTCCCATGGACTCAATCTTCAAGGCAGCCATCTGGTCTAATCCTATGACATTTATTTCTCACTACCGTTTGGACACCCGCTCTCGAAGAGACACAGTGTTCGGTTGAGCGGTTTTGGCATCCTGCCCTCCTTGAACTTTACCACGAGGGGTTTTCTTCCTCGGGAATGTTTTTTCTGAACCTCCAGGTATACATGTATTTCTGTGCTTACTTATGACCAATGCTGTTCATTACAAGCACTTAAAAGTGAGTGTCTGATTGCAACGGCCTCCACGGCCACTGATGCCAGTGTTTACTCTGTAACGTTATTTCAAGAATTCATGCCTGTAAAGTACATTTTCCTGTGTTTACACGTATTGTTCAACTTCATTTCATCCGATGTTATGGTTATGTTAAAAGATCTCGTTTCATCCCTTCTCGAGATGATGATCCTACCTATACGTGAGGTTTATTATTATCTCGCCATACCTACCTTTATGGCACAATTCTTGTTGGTGCATACCTGATGTGCTTGTTTGTGTTTTACATGCTTGTGCTTTTCACTTTAATAAATCATGTTTTGGCCCTTAATTGGTGTCGCTTTGCTTCCCACCATTCAGGACTTCAGCTTGCTAGCTCTCCATATGTGTGCATTCACAGAGGCCACGAAGAAAAATGGCAGATTACTCACCTGTAACCATCTTTCTTCAAGTGGTCCTCTGTGAATCTACACAAACCCGCCCGGCCGTCCCCTCTTGCAAACCTCCTCTTTCCTTGCTAGAGCGGCATAGGAACTACAGAGCGCGCGCGCGGAGCGCCTTTTATGCCCTACTGGGTGGCTGGGTGGGGTTACCGCCAAAACTTAAAAGTTTTAAACTGGGAAGTTTTCCGTTGGAGCTTGCGCAGGCGCACATTCTCCATATGTGTGGATTCACAGAGGACCACTTGAAGAAAGATGGTTACAGGTGAGTAACCTGCCAATATTTTTGTATCAATAATTTATTTACAAAGAAAGATAATTCGTGTAATGGCAAATAATAATACAATTGTAATGTTTGTTTTGTTTTGTTTGTTTTTTGTTTTGTTTTGTTTCGTTTAGGTGACAGAAATTATTTTGGAGGTATCTCTAGAAGTTTGGTAAGTATCTTACCATGAGAAAAACATAACTAAATAAATAATTACAAAAGCAGCATGGTTTTGAGTTCAAGCTTTATCACAGTTTGATTATGATTTACAAATTTAACTAGCTGTCCCCTGCCACGCGTTGCTGTGGCCCAGTCTGTTGATCTGGGAAATAAAGTAATGAGAAAGTTTGGTTTCTAATATATATAATTATGCTTGTGAGTAAACAGTATTTCTTGCTGTGTCTTTGTCAGTGTTGATGTGGAGAGTGTCTGGTTTGCCCACTCTGGAACATTCAACATATCATTGTCCTTCTTTAAGGGTCCCTTTCAAATCTATGATACTATATCTCTCTGTGAATCATATCTATCTATCTATCTATCTATCTATCTATCTATCTATCTATCTATCATCTATATCAATGGTTGGATGGCTCTTTGTCAGGAGGGGTTTGATGACATTTTCTTGCCCTGATGAAGGGAGTTGGATTGGATGGCCTTAAGTATCAATCAATCAATCAAAATATTTATTTCGGTCATTTATTTCCTGTGCAGGACAATTTGACCAGCACAGGAAATAGTGTCACATTTCCATAAAAACCTGGCATGTTTGGTACATTAAAATATAAATATAACTACTAAAGCACAATATGGGTGAGGGAGCAGAAGGGGAAACAGGATAAAAACATACAATGCCCAGATCCATCACCAAACTGCAGATCCAGGGAAGAAGATTACTGGACACACAGTTAACTTTTTGGACTAGTCATTCCCTGACGGATTTTGTATGCTGCTGCACAGAACTTTGCAACATTGTAGGTTGTAGCTGAATTAGTATCTGCAAGTAGCAGGGAGGTATAAAATTGTCCTGAATGGCCTGGGTGCTTGTCTATCAGAGGTAAGATAAGCCTGGCACAGATATCCCTGTAGAACGGGCACTGAAGGAGCACATGTTCTATTGTTTCCACATGACCCGAGTCACAGGGGCAGAGCCTCTCTGGGAAAGGGATCTTCCGGTAGCGGCCCTCGAGTACAGCTGATGGGAGAGCGTGGCATCGGGCCAGGGTGAAAGCCCTCCGATGAATAGGAACCTCTAAGTATGTTAAATATGCCATAGGGGAGGCAAGGTATCTGCTGTCTTCACTGACAAGGAAGGTTGGAGCCAAGGCCAAGTTGGATTAGATGGCCTTAAGTATTTTCTGTTGGTCATGGGGGTTCTGTGTGGGAAGTTTGCCCTGATTCTGTTGTTCGTGGGGTTCAGAATGCTCTTTGATTGTAGGTGAACTGTGAATCCCAGTGACAACTCCCAAATGTCAAGGTCTATTTCCCCCAAGTTCACATTTGGGCATATTAAGTATTGTGCCAAGTTTGGTCCAGATCCATCATTGTTTGAGTCCACAGTGCTCTCTGGATGTAGGTGAACTGCAACTCCCAAAGTCAAGGTCAATGCTCAGCAAACCCTTCTAGTGTTTTCTGTTGATCATGGAAGGCCTATGTGCCAAGTTTGGTTCAATTCCATCATTGGTGGAGTTCAGAATGCTCTTTGATTGTAAGTGAACTATAAATCCCAGCAACTACAACTCTCAAATGAGAAATCATAATTTTTTGAGTGATGACCACTCCTTGTGTTGTGAGATGTTTTGTTGCCAAATTTGGTGTGATTTCGTTCATTGGTTCTTTTGTTTTTAAGGTACTCATTATGCACAGAGCATGGCTGGAATCACTGGGTTGTTGTAGGTTTTTCAGGTAGGAAGAGACCTCCAAGGGTCATCCAGTCCAGCCCCTTCTGGCAAATGGGAAAAGCACAATCTAACCACTCCTGAGAGATGGCCAGCCTCAGTTTAATAATAATAATAATAATAATATAATCCTAGGATAGGAAGAGACCTGCAGGGGACCTGCAGTCCAGCCCCTTTTGGGAAAGGGAAAAGCCACATTAAGAGATTGCACATAAGAATGCCATTCATACTCATTAATTATATAATAATAATAATAATAATAGATTTCCATAAGAATGCCCTAGCATAGGAAGAACCAGACTACTGAAGGGGCCCATCAGTCATGCCCCTTTTGCGAGCAAATAAGGAGAGCCAAGCGACAATCTAACCACTCATTAGACAGGATAGCCAAGTCCTCTATGGTTAATCAATAATAATAAAAATAAATAAACTTCATAATAATAGCAGTCCACTTAACATCAGAGCCAGCACTGTGAACCCAAAACAAAGCATAGAAATCTGCGGGGAAGAAAACTCATATGGCCAAAATTGGTACACAGTGCGAGTTTGGGAAGAGCCTTAGATTATGGAGAGTTGATTAAGTAGCGGGGAGGTGGGGGGACACGGCCCTTCACTACTTTCATCCCACGTAGCGACTAGAAGGTGCCGAAGAAGGGAAAGGAAGGAAGAAAGGAAGGAAGAGAAGGAGAAGGAGAGGAAGAAGGAAAGGTAAGAAAAAAGGAAGGAACAGGGGAAGGAAGGAAGGAAGGAGAAAGAAAAAGGAAGGAACGATGGAAGGAAGGAAGGAAGGACGGAAGGAAGGTAAGAAAAAGGAAGGAAGAATGGAAGGAAGATAAGAAAAAAAGGAAGGAAGGAAGGAAGGAAGGAAGGAAGGAAGGAAGGAAAGGGAGGGAGGGAGGAAAGAACAGAAAATAAAGTGAAGGAAGGAAGGAAGGAAAGACAGAGGATAAGGGGAAGAAGGGAAGGAAGGAAATAAAGAAAGGGAAGGGTGGGAAGGAGTTAGGAAAAACAGAAGGGGAAGAAGGAAAGGAAAGGAAAGGGAGGGGAGGGAGGAAAAACAGAAGATAAGGGAAGGAAGGAAGGATCACAGCACTCTGGCTGCCCCATGGGCTATGGGGAAGCTGGGGGGGGGGAATGAAAGAGGCCCGCCTGCCCAGGAAGGTGCCGGGGCTCGGGAAGGGAGGCGTGCGGCACTGGAAGGGCGAGTGGGGCTTGGTGCTGGGCCTCTGGGAGACCTCTTGGAGGGAACGGAGGGTGGGAGGGACAGAGGACGCCGGGCCGCGAAACAGCCAGGGAGGAGGGGGAGGAGTCCTCTCTGCCTGCAATTGCTCCTGGGAAAGGTGGGCCAAGCGTCTCCCAGGCGCAGTTGCTATGGAGTGGAGAAGCCGCCTCCTGCTTCTGCTCCCTCGGTTGAGGCTCGAAGAGGCATTGAGGAAGTGAATAGGAAGAGGCCCCTCTGTGTCTCCGTTGGTCAGGCTGGTGTTTCAGATGGTGAATTTTGGTGGAGCTGTGGCTGGCTCCGGGAGGCCCAGCAGCCATTGCCGCCACAAGTTCTACCGCGAGACGATGGAGGAGCTCTTACATGCACGTGCGCACCCACCACAGCTGCACGCATGCGCTGTGATGGCTTCTCCTTTTATTAAGGATTTCTAAGTTGTTTTTGATGTTTTTCTAATTTTTATTATTGTTGGTCACACCTTGTATGGTGAGGAGTTTTGTTGGCAAATTTGGTGGGTATTGGTCCAGCAGTTCTTTTGTTTTTAAGCCACTCATTACAACATGAGCATTTATATACAGTATATATAGATTGTGAAGACATACATATTGGAACAAGCTAGAGTTGAAAATACCAGGTAAAAGTTAGGCTTGATGCACAATGAGTTTCACTGTATCTTAGAAGGAAATTCCTGATTCAAGGCTAAGTCCAAAATTGAACAAAACGCAGAAAACCATCAAACACAGGTTGAATCCTTATTCCCTGATCTGCCTTACATCTCACCAGCACTGCCTCTTGTGCTGAATTTTTTGTCCTCATCTAATCTGCCAGAAAATGGTTTAGAACAGGGGGAAAAATGCTTGAATTAGTTGGAAAGGAGAAATAGCGTTGTCAGTCATCAGTATACCTGTGGTACCAGGGCCCAAACCTCCACATAGCCTCAGAATGGGGGACCTAATGGACCCCTAAGGAATCCCATACAACAATGGCCAAAGAATTGAATAGGAAGCTTCCAGTGCAACTCACTGGACACATCCCTTCAAAACAGGACTCCAAATCCCAAATCCCATACCTGCAAGATAGTCCAGAAGTATAGAAAACCTGCAGAGAGGTCCAGGAGAACCAGTAGACACCCTGTTTAGTTTCCAGCGTAGGGCACTGAACATGGCAACCAAATCTTTCTCTATCCCATGACCAAGCATGAAGCCATAGAGTCAGCTTTCAAGATTACATAACATGTTCAGTGAGACTTGCTTGAGTCTTTCTCTAATGTTGCTCTACACTTCATCTCATTGTTATGATATATCTGATGGTCATTTTTGAATTAATTTCATAATATAATAATGGAAACAATCAAATTATTTTATTATTATATAAATTTCTTCCTTTTTTGTTTAAGGTTTTCTGTAATTATTTCACAAAGTTATTTGTTTTGTCTTTAAAATCCTTTGTTTTGAAAGCCATTATCACCTCTCTGCCCACCTTCCTTACATGTAAGTCAATCTGAAAGTAAACAGGTCTTGGTAGTAGGCGACTCCCTCCTTAGAGGAACGGAAGCTGTCATTTCCAGACCAGATGGGATGGCTCGAGAAATATGCTGCCTACCGGGGGCAAAAATACACCATATCACTCAGAGGCTCACCAGGCTCCTCAAGCCCCATCACCATCCTCCCCTCATGTTGATTCATGTATGAACCAATGATACTGCTAGGCATACTTTTCAAAAGATCATAAATGATTTTCGAGCTCTCGGAACAAAGCTAAAACAATGTAATGTACAGGTGGTCTTTTCATCCCTCCTCCCAGTTGTAAGACACAGTCCTACAAGGGCCAGAAAAATAGTACAGGTCAATAACTGGCTTAGAAAATGGTGTCAGGAGGAACGCTTTGGCTTCCTCGACCATGGCCTGCTTTTCCAGGAGGATGGCCTACTGGCAAGGGATGGGGTGCATCTCACACAAGTAGGAAAACACCTTTTTGCTCACAGACTCGCAAACCTCATTAGACGCACTTTAAACTAGGTCCACCGGGGGAGGGGGACAACAGCCTTGCGAACACTAC